AATTTGCTCTAGTAATGAGTTTTATACGCATGGACTCATTAACCAAAAAATACTCAGTAGGATTTTTCCCAGAGCAATAAACTACAGAACTTCCAAGTGAAAATGTCATTTAATAGAAAAACATTACAAAGCAAAAAACGTGTGTGAATAACTGTTCATTCTGTTCTCATCAGTCCCAAACCAGACTGTTTCCTTTCAAGTTTGTTTCAAAATTAAACTTCATTTACTTCAGCTCATGATATCGTAAGAAGAATCATGGATGTTTTGGAGTTGACAGTTACAATGGCCACACACCTTCCCCCCATTGAGGCCAACCACTCAGGGATCCTAGGGCGCTGACAGAACAACTCATTAACTCACTTCAACTGGCTTCTCCGCAAGGGCACATCTATTTGCAAACCTTCTTAAAAAACAAACAAACAAACAAAAAAGACAACGTATGTATGTATATATGCATATAAAGAAGAGTATGCGTGTGTATCAATGTTTGTACAGCCAGTTAGTGGTCTTGTTCATTGAACTCATAAAATGAAGCACTAAGAAAGGATAATACCAGTCTAAACCCACACAGAACCTAGCTGAAGAAGAAATGAATTTTGTTTCCAGATAAAAGCCTCTTTATTAGAGATTCCAGTTTCTAACCAGCGAGCTCTGTGATCCCGTATTAATACCCACATCTGATGCAGAATAGTTTATTGGTGCAACGGGGTGCTGCTATGTAAGATGGGACCACATGGGGAAGCTCTGGGTTCACATCCAGGGCCTGCCTCATGCACCAGCAGGTCTGGGACCCCAGCCGGCTGCAGGGCTGGGAGCGGACTGTGGCATGAAACCCTGTTGAGGGTCTCTCACTATCTTTCTCAGGAAATATAAACTTTAAAAAAAAAAGAACAGGCCCATTGCCACCAAAGATGCCAGATTATCTGAGAACTCTTCAAAAGCACAGCATCATGTCTGTGTGTTTTAGTGGAAAAAACAATTACACATACCTACTCTACCAGTTCATTTCATCTCTGAAACTCTAGTATTGCGCTATTTTTTTTCTTTTTTTCAATACATACAAAAAAGCAACATGGATAATCTTGTATTCCAATGATATTTTCTGTTAGTTCTTTTCTTTTTTCTGTCTTCAGATCTTATCTACATTAAAAAGAGGATTCAAACTCTTTCTTTCCAATTCTCGATTTCTCCAAAGAATTTACCCTACGCAGAAACCTCCAAGGTTTATAACACATGGATGTGTGATCTTCAGTGTAACTACCATTGATCCATTTATGTTCATCACAACCACCCAAATAAACTGTAAGTTTCTTAAAACTCCTATCTGCCTTTTCAGGCTTTCAGTTTCTTCACCAAAAGCATACTATATTACTAAATGCATAGCATGTATTAGTTTACAAATCAATGTATATTCATTCCTTCTTATTCTCAATTCTTTCTTTCCCCAAGCCTACAATGAGAATGACTACCAAAAATGCCTCGTTACACCGATATAAGATATCAGACAAGAGGGACGAGCACTTAGTGTAATGGCAATGTCGCTGGACTCCCATGTAGTCGACCGCAGTTCGAGTTCCAGACCCGGTGGCTTAAACTCACACCGGGCGCGTGTGCGTGCGTGCCCAAGATCCCAAGAGGAGAATGGAGGAGAAGGGATTGTGGCGTGACCATTCCCCCTGGGGGGTGATGTCTCGCTTTCTGTCTCTCTGTCTCTCTCTGTCTTTCTGGTGAGCGCACGCGCCCTATAGCGAAAACCTCTCCAAAAAAAAAAAAATTAAAAAAAAAGACAGTATCAGACAAGATAAATGCATCCCAAACTAACCCTTTGAGCTTACTGAGACCATGAACTGTAACTCACACATCTTGGTACCAAAAAAAAAAAAAATAGTACGGTACTTACAACATGGCAGATGTTGAATAAACATTTTGAATTATACTTAATGCTTTTTTTCATTACAGTCTAAAAAGGACAAAAAGACCCACAGTATTTCTAAAACACCAAGTTAGTTGAGATTGTTCTAAATTCCGAGGGCAGAAACAGCCCTTAGGCTCTCTAAAAAAAATCCTATTACTCTTTTGCAATATACAATCCAGCTATACCTGACTAGATAATTATAGCTAAATAACTAATCATTAAAAGACACCCGTAATAACACCTCTCCTGGACAGAAGAACTGTGTTACTCTTTATTATCATGTTCCTGGCAGCCACCAATATGGTCAAGTCTACTTTACTGCCTAAATTTTCAGACGGCTGACACCTAGAAAACTTCTACCAAGAAAAGCAATATCAAAAGAACCTCAAACAAAAGACCAATATTTTTGGTGCAGAGTTTATGCAAAGATAAAGGATAGGCTATTCAAAAATAAAGGCTGTATCTTAATTAGATTGAAAAAAAAAAGAGAAAAGAAAAATAATGATCACAGGGTCACTGAGCAGTGATCGAGGCAAAACTCACTGTATTTTTAATTTTGGCTCCAAGTTAATAAGAGCTTACTGTGAATTTATATCAAAATATTTCATAATCTAAAAGCATAGCATGGCATAAAGGAATTGGAATTCTAAATAGAACAGTTTAACATATACTAGTTACAAACTGCCAAACTACGGCAGATGACAACTTCTGAATTAATACAACATTTACACTTCAAAGTCAGGTATAGAAATCTATAAGCTTTGCAATTTACAAAGTTTTATTGTTCCTTTATTCAAAACCACCTCTAAGACATGTTCTAAAAAGATAAATGTTGAACTGTAAGATGGCATAGGTTAAAAATGTCCTGGAAATATTTTGTTCTCATGGTAACTCATTCACAGTACATAAATAGCCGGTGTTCTGAGATTCAGCCATAGCATGTACACTTCCATGTGCAAAATTGGGATGATGACCACAGAAAAGTAATTGACAATCATGTCACATTACTTATCATTCATAAATTTCAATCCCATGCTAAGATTTCCACCCAAACCAGCCCTGAGAGCCAATCAGAGCTTCCCAAACATCAAGCCAAAATTTTATCTGGAGGTCTGTCAGATCTCTGCATGGACTCCGTGGTACATGATCCATGCTTTTCTCTTCCTTTGATAAACTATTTTTCCCTTGAAAATCCTCAAGTAAATGAAGCCAGATCGAAAGAAAGCACAAAAGACACCCTGACTTGCATCTGTTACTCTAACCGAGATCCACAGGGAGATTCAAAGTTTCACTATATGGATCTGCCTGGTCTCCAAATGTCCATGGAACAATAACGCCAAGCAGAACGGAGACCATGGGTAGTTTCTCGTCATTGATTCTGTGCAAAAAGACTGAGGAGCCTGACACCTCATCACACCAGGAAGGATGGCCCACAGATGCCAAGACTGAGGGGCTGCCTCTCCTTCGTCTGGGCCTCCGGAGGACAGTCAATACCCTACTGAGCTGCGGTAGGTTCCCCACATCCCACCTTAGAAACCTCAACAACCCTCAAGCACGACTCTGCCTAAAGAAACATGCCCCATTTGTTCATTTTTAAAACGCCATAACGTTTCCGATGAAAACGCAGCCTGCCAAAGACGTCAAGGGAAAGAATAACAAAGACAGGGGCAGCATCCTTAGCCTCCGTGTCAATGCATCGCCCCTCCATCTGTCCGCCGCTGGTGAAGTCACCCTGGAGAAGCCTTGCAAACGCCAAGTTTTATTCCTGCACCTAGACCCACCGCTGCTCGCAGGACCTCGGGAATAATTACGTTCTGTCGGTGGAGCGACCTACAGGAATG